GTATCCCCCCCAAACCCAAAACCACCCCCCAAACCTCCCCTGGGGGTCTCACCGTGACGCTGCGGATGACACCGGTCTGTCCCACAGCCTGACTGTCCAGGTAGGTGTCACGGACCTTCACCTGGATGTCGGTGGTCACCCAGTCGCTGGAGCTCTGCTCAATCCCCGATCCAGGGGTGTGGGGGTTGTACCCCCCCGGAGAGGGGGCCCCAGGGGTCATGGGGCTGTAACCCACCGGGCTGGGGCTGGGGCTTGCCTGGGGGGAGAGAGGAGTCAGTGTTGGGGGGTGCAGGGGGACTATGAGGGGGCTTTGGGGGCTGTAGGGAGCTTAGGGGGGTGTAGGTGGGCTACAAGGGGATTTAGGGGGGGTGTAGGGGGGCAATGACAGTGTTTAGGGGGATAACAAGGGCATTTGGGGGTTATATGGGGGTGTTGGGGATTGTAGGGGTGCTATGAGGGGGGCTTGGGGGGTGTAGGGAGGCTATGAGGGAGTTCAGGAGGCTTAGGGGTACCTGGTAGGCCATGGGTGATGGCGTGGGGTGGTAGCTGGCCGGCGAGTGGGTGTTCTGATAGCCCACGGGGCTGGGGGCCACTTGGTGGTAGCTCTGGGGGCTGGGGCTGGGCTGGTAGGAGCCCTGTGGCGACGGGACGGCGTACGGCGAGAACTGGTCTGTGTTGTACCTGGGTGGGGGGGGGAGCATGGAGAGGAGAGGAGAGGTGGCACCCCCAGGGCATGATTTGGGAGGGCTCCAGGGACAGGGTTTGAGGATTTGGGGTCCTCCAGGGCCAAGACTGCACCCTGGGGGTACACTTTCCCCCCCGGGGCCAAGGTTCAGGGTCCCCCAGGAGCACAGTTCCCCCTGCCAGAAGCACAACTGCCCCTCAAGGCTGCAATTTGGGGTCCCCCAAAAGCAGGTTTCCCCCAGGGCTGTGGTTCGGAGTCCTCTGGGACTGCACTTTCACCCTGGGACTCTGATTCAATGGCCATGACCCCCCTACTGAACCAGTTTGGGGTCCCCCAAGAGCAGTTTCGCCCCACAGCATCGTGGTTTGGGGTCCCCTGGGAGCAGTTTCCCCCCCCAGAACCACAGTTTGGGGTCCCCCAGGAGCAGTTTCCCCCCAGAACCACAGTTTGGGGTCCCCCAGGAGCAGTTTCCCCCCAGAGCAGTGGTTCGGTGTCCCCTGAGTCCTGCCGTGGGGTAGAGGGAGCACTTACATGGCCGGCGTTCCAGGGGTCTGGGGGTTGTAGGGCTGGTTGACCTGGGGGGATGAGGGGTCAGGGTAGCCGGGGGTCTGGGGGTTGGGGGTGCCCCCATAGCCCTGTGGCGAGGGCGTGGGCTCGTCATCAAAGCCGTACTCGAAGTCCTCGTCGGCCCTATGGGGGACAGACAGGTGTCATTGTCACAGTGGGGCCGTCCTGGTGGCCGGGGACCCCAAAATGGGGCCGTCCCAGTGAGGGGGACCCCCCCACACCCACCTGGAGGGCGTGTTGGGGTTGTTGGGGTCCCAGGCGCCGCTCTGGGCGGGCGTGCGGCTGCCGTCGTGCAGCGGCGTCTGCGAGCCATAGTGCGGCGTGCGGCTGCCTGCGAGGGTCCCACAGCGGCTCCGTCAGCCTCTGTGGCTGCAGGGCCCCCCTATAACCTCCCCCGAGCCCCCCTTCTCCATGTTGCTGGTCCTACTTCAGCTCCGCCACCTCCAGAAGATCACCCCGGGAGTCTCCTCTGTGTCCCCCAAGGTCCCATCTCATCCTGATCCATCCCCCTCCAAGCCAGACCTGAGTCCCTGTGTACCTGGGGTCCCCCCAGTTCCTGTCCCCTCCATCACCATGTCCCCCAAGGTCCCACTTCATCCTGGTGCGTCCCCCCCAGGTCACTCCCAGGCCCCCCCTAATCCCTATTCCCTCTATCCCCCCCGCTCCCCCAAGGTCCACCCCCCAAGCCACCCCAGGGTCCCCCTAATCCCCGTCCCCTCCATCCCGACATCCCTCCGCGCCACTCACCGTCATGCAGGGGGGTCTGCGAGCCATACATGGGGGTGCGGGAGCCAGAGCCGTACATGGGGGTCTGGGAGCCGTACATGGGGGTGCGCCCATAGGCTGACGTCATCCCACCTGGGCGCCGTGAGCCCCTGCAGGGATATGCGGGTGTCAGGGACGGGGACATGGTGCCGGCGGGGGGGCAGGGACCCCCTAAAATCGCCCTGCTCATGTATGCAGGTGTCATCCACCCCCAAGGGAGGTCCTGGCCCAAGTGTCGCCACCCCTGAGGACCACCCTGACCCATCAGAGCGGGGGGGGGTGTCTCCAAGGGCGACCCTGACCCCGGTATGCCCGCCCCCCCCAACTCACACGGTGGTCAGGCGCTGGCGGTCCACCGAGATGGTCTGGCAGGTGGAGTGTAGCTCCACGCGGGCTGTCGACTCCGTCGCGTCCTTCACCACCCCAATGTAGCCTGCGGGGCCGGACGGGGGCTCAGGGTGGAGGTCCAGGCATCCCCGAGGCCCCCCTCCCCTGTTTGGGGGGGACAAACGGGGGCCCAGCGCCTCATCAGAAGGCACCCACCTTTGTAGGGTCCTTGGGAGATGCGCACTGTCTGCCCAATGAGGTCGTTATCCCGCCGCCCGCGGCCACGGCTCATGCCGCCGCCGCCGAAACCACCGCGTTGGCCTGCAGGATTGAGATGGGGCTCGGGGGGGTCCTTGGGGACACCCCTGGAGCCTCCAGTACACCCCCAACACTCACCAGCCCCGCTGGGGTGCATCGGGCTGCTGATACGGGGGCTCATGGGGGCAAAACCACCCACGGTGAAGTTCGTGACGTCCCGTGGCTGCAAGAGGGAGAAAACGGTGCCTGGAGAGGGGGGCAGCAGCAAAACCAGGGGGCTGTAGCCCTCCCTGGCAGTCCGTGGGGGTATCCCTGGCGCATCCCCACCTTGGAGCCCCCTGCCAGGACGAGGTGCCGGGTCTTGCAGACGAACATGCCGCCGTTTTCCACCAGCTTTTTGCAGTGCAGGAAGGCGAAGCCCCGGAAGAGGTGCCGGATCTCCCCCTCACGGCCCTGCCCCGGTAAAAGGCAGGGGTTAAACCCCGGTAAAAGCGGGGGGGAGGGCATGACCCGGTGATGGGATCCTCCCCTCAGCAATAGGGAGGACCCAGGCGGATACTAGGAGGGATCTGGTGTTCCCTTGGTACCAGTAGGGATGCAGGGTGGTACTGGGAGGGACCCCAAATATACCAGGGACCTCTTCTCAGTGCCAGGAGGGACCCAGCTCACCCCAGGGACGGTCCCCGAAGCAGGGACAGACCCAGAGCAGCTCTGGCAGGGACCCAGAACACCCCTGGGGGGTCCCAAAGCACCAGAAGGGGCCCATCACACCCCCAAGACCCTCCCCCAAACCCTGTAAGCCCCTACCGAGTGAGGCCCGTCTATGACTTTGACAATGTCCTTGACGTGGATGTTGTTCTGCTCTGAGTCGAGGGCAACGGCGAAGCGGTTGTCCTTCTTCCTGGTGACAGCCTGGTGCCGCACCGTCACCACCTTCCCATACATGTTCAGTACCTGCGGGGACATGGAGAGGGTGGGAGAGGGGCAGCCAAAAATGGGGACACCCTGGGGCAGGGGACATAGCTCTGGCACAGGGATGAGCATGGAAACCCCCTGGGACACGGATGTGGCTCCTCTGGGCGTCCCTGGGGAGCTGGGACTCACCTGGAAGGTCTCCCGCTCCAGGCGGACAATGACACCCACTGTTTGGGGGTCCAGCTGCACCAGCTCGCCCCACTCGTGCTGACCCCCCACATCCACGCCGGACGCTGTCTCTGAGCAGAGCTGCAGGTCCCGTGGCAGAACCTTGAGCTGGTGGCAAGAAGCGTGAGAGACAGCCATTTCCCATCTTCTTCTCCCCAAAACCCAGTCTGTTTCGAGGCAAGACACAGCACCGAACTGGACTTTTCACCCCCAAATACCTCGTGCATGGTGAGGTCAGAGAAGAGGATGACGAAGTTTTCCTCCACCCTCACGATCAGCCCTGTGTCGCCCTCGAAACGCCCTGCGATCACCTTGACATGGTCGCCCATCTTGAAATACTTGCGCAGCTCCTGAGCTGGGAACTCCAGCATGTCCTGGGGGTGGAAGAGAAGGCTGTGGGCATGGCAAGGAGGGGCTGGGGTGGTCCCAGGGTGGCCACAGCGGCCGCAGGAGGCACCCAGTGTTGCCCCCTCGGGACCCTCTGACCTTCAAGTCCTCATGTTTCGGCATGATGGTGATCTTGTTGCCGTCAACGCTGAGGATTTTGCCTTGCAGGTTGATCAGCTCACCCTCGCACACCTCCACGTTGTCGCCAGGCTGGAAGTTGTGCTCTCGTTCCTTCCCTGTGGTAATGGTGGGGATAGTGAGGGGATGGCGCTGCAGGGGCGCCAGTGGGGGGGGGGGCAGCAGGGGCACCTGCTTACCTGTGCTCTCTGTCACCACCTCCAGGTCGATGCCTTCGGGCTGGTCCTCGAACTTCTCCAGCTCCGACAGGGTGGGCTTCACCCCCTCCGTTATCTGCCAAGAGTGGAAACGGTGGCCAAAACCAACCCAGCTGAGGAGCTACTGGCCTCCCACCACCCCTCAGCATTAGAAAGGTGGTTTTGGGGGAAAACCAGCAGGTTTGGTGTTCAAACCCCAGCACGGCGGGGCAGTGGCGCTCACCACAGCCGACATGGCAAAGCTTTTGAAGAGGAATCCCTTGCGGCTGTAGCGGTTGCCTTCGAAGATGAGAAAGTCACCATCAGATGCCACATCACCTCCTAGGGACCTGGGACAAAACCAAAATCACCCCCTTGGTGGGCAGGAGCCCCCCCAGGGACAAAAGCCCTCCTTTGGCGAGGGCAGCTCCCCCAGTGGGGGCTTTTTGGGCAGCATCTGATGTCCCCTAGCATGGTGATGGTCGCCTACCGAATCTTCTCAGCATCAAAGAGCCGCTGCGGGGGTCGCTTGAACTTTTTCCTCTTGGCGAACCAGTCTTTCTGTGGGGCAGGGGGCAGTAGGGGGTGAAAGAAGGGCAGTGACACGGTGGCAGCAGCAGCGCCAGCACCCGCGCGGCACAGGTCCGCTTACCAGGCTCATGCGGGCTTTGATCCGGTCGAAGTCGATGCGAGGGATCATCTTGAGGGAAATCTGGTTCTGGCTGGGCTCCACGTAATCCACCTGGGGGGCACAAAAGCAGGGTGAGCCAGGTGTGTGTCCCCCACCATGGTGTCACCATCTCCTTCTGCTCCTCACCTGGGCGATGTCATCCTTGTAGATCCCTCTTTTGAGGCGCACCCAAGATTTGGGCTTGAGGTTGGTGACCTCCTTCACCACTTTGAGGACATCGGTCATCTCCTTGATGGGGACCATCTGCTGGTTCCAGTAGCCCATGCGCAGATTGCCCACCCCCTCAATCGCCTGCTTGACATGCGTCTGCTTGTAGGCCTCCACGTAGATATAACCCTTGACGTGCTCGGGGGCCACCACCGACTTGATCTGCAGGGGCTGGAGGACGAGGGAACGCACTGGGGACATGTTGGGGACACCACGGCACTGTCACCCCATCACCGGCTACGGCCTGGCTCCCCCATGGCCTCACCGTGTCAGTGAACTGGTAAGCGATGAATTTCCGCATGAGAGCGATGGCCGTGGCGCGTTCCTCACCAATCTGGGGACGAAAATGATGTTTTAGGGTTGGAGATACATGGCTCCCCCTGCCACCACACTGAGTCCCCCCCCACACCCACCCCCGAACCCACCTTGCACTTGACGGTCCAGAGATTGGGGTCCCTGCGCAGGGGTGGAGAGGGAAACGCCGTTACAGAGTGTCTTGTCCCGATTTGCTCCTTTTCCCCCCCAAACCACATGGGTTTCCCGCCCCTCCCCGGTGAGACTCACTTGACTCCTGGCAGCAGCTGTTGCTGCGTGATGTCATCCGAGAGCTCGTCAGAACCACCGTAAACACTGAAAAAAGGGAAAATTATAAAAAAAATAATTAAATGAGGGGCAGTGGGAAGAAAGAGGAGCTGCTCCCTGTCACACTGGGGATGGGGATGGGGACTCACGTCTCTCCCACCGAGGACTTGGCATATTTCTTCATGTAATACTCGCCCAGCTCCTCCTCACGCTGATCCCTGGGGAGATAAAAGGAGCGGGGGAGGCATCAGCTCAGCTGCCACCGCCCTGCCGGACAGACAGACACACAGACAGAGCCGCAGTCACCTCCAGAGGTTCTGCAGCCGCCGAGCACCAGAGCGATCCTCATCCAGCACCACGTTATCAATGTTGGAAGCTGTGAGGAAGAGGAAGGTCAGGATCTTGCTCCAGGGGGATGGTGCAGGGGGGTGGGCTGTGCTTGCTTGGCCCTGGAGTAGGGGGGGACCCCAAGGGGAAATGGGGGGGGGGGGGCGGGGGGATCTGGGCTTCCCTTCGATCTCTTCTGCTCAGGAACAAGGAGTGGCGGTGGAGAATGGAGCAAATAATAGCAGCAAAACCACCCGCGGGTGAGTGGGGAACAAAGGGGAAGGAATCAAAATTCAGACGGCAGCACAAGGGGGTAAAAGGGAGGGGGAAATAAAAGCAAAAGAAAGACCCAGGCGAGCGCAGATGAGATGTGCTGAGCAGACAGACATGGGGAGGGAAGCATGGATGGACAGCAGGAGGTGTGGGAGACAGGCCGTCCTTCCCTCCCCCCTCAAGGGATGGATTTTGAGGGGGGGAAAAAGGGGCTGGGAGGAGAGGGAAGAGCCAGAGGATGGGGGTTGGCCCCCAAAGAACTGCACTTCCATCCACCTCCTCAGGCCTCCGGGGGAGGGAAGGGACCTGGGGGGAGCCCCCAAAGCAGGATGGGGACGCTCCTCACCTTTCTCCAGGATGTCCTCGGCCCCGTCCTCCCACTGGTCCTCGTCCTCGTACTCGTCATCCACGTCTGGGGGGAATCAGGGTGGTGAGTGGGGCCAGGGGGGCAGCAGCAACACCCCAAAACACCCCCGTGGCCCCCCCAGCTCACCAGCCTCATCCAAGATGAAGCCGCCATGGCGTGGCTTTTTAGCCGGCCGGTCGTCATCTTCCTCCTCTTCCTCCTCGTCGTACTCCTCCTCCTCTTCCTCTTCCTCCTCCTCGGCTTCCTCCTTCTCACTGCCGGCCACGCTGGCACGCTCCTCCTCAGCCTAGCGGGTTTTAGGGGGGTGAGGGAGGACACCCCCCCCCCCCCGCCCGCCGCGCGCACCCTTCAGCCTCACCTCGTTCTCCTCCACCTCCTCGGCCTCACTGCTGTGCTCGCTCTCGTCCTCCGAGAAGTTGCTGTCGTCGCTGTCCGACATGGCGGCGCTGGGAGATCTGGAGGGGGAGATGGGGGAGTCCCACGGGGACGAGCAGGGGGTCCGGAGGTGTCCCGGGGGTAGCTGGGGGGAGAGGCAGGGAGACGGGGGGGTGTCCTGAGGGGCAGGCAGGGGGGTCTGCTGGTATCCTGCAGGGCCTGAGAGGTGGGCAAGGGAGTCCAGGGGTGTCCTAAGGGGGTGTGGGTCTTTTCTGGGGGGGCCAGGGGGGTGGGCAAAGGTGTATTGACGTGTGAAATGGGGGTGTCCCGGGCTGGGACGGGATGCAGACGGGTACGACCCCCCCCCCCGGGGAACAGCCCTACCAGCAACCCCCTCCAGCAGCCTGAGCGCCAGATCTGGGATTAACCCCCGGTAAATCCCATCCCCCGGGGGGGGGGGCTGTGTCCTATCACCGTCGCCGCCTCCTTACCCCCGGAGGGAACGGCGGACTCGGTTCGGTTCGGCTCCGCTCCGCTCTAGGCCTCGGCCCGGCCTCCCTCCTAGGCCCCGGCTCCGCTCCGCTGCCGGCTGCGGTCCCGCCTCGGCCCGGCCTGGCCCGGC